GATTGTGATTTTGATGCCATATTTAAGTACTCTTCTCCAGGCCCTAGATCCTAAAGATTTTCTTCTACATTTCCTTCTAAAAGTGTTAAAATTTTACATTTAAATCTATTATCTGCTTTTAAGTTAATTTTTATATTAGAAATGAGGTTTAGGTCAGGGTTCATTTTTGTATAAGCAATTGCTCCAGACCATTTGTTTAAAAGATTTTTCTTCCTCTACTGAATTTGAGAAAGGTGCAAAGGATACCTTTGTCAAAAATAAGATGACTGTATTATGTGGGTCTGTTTATGGTTTCTTTATTTTGTTCCATTCAACTATGTGTCTGTCCCTTGGCCAATTCAGTCTTGATTACTTCTGCTGTATAAAAGTCTTATGGTCAGGTACAGTGATTTGTACACTTCATTCTTCTTTTTCCAGATAGTTTTAGCTCTTCTACTTCATTTACTTTTCTGTAAATATTTTAGAATAAATTGTCCATGAGAACCAAACTATGACCTTGATTATATCTTTCCTGAATTTAGAAACCATCTAAAGAATAGATTTGATGCATTGAACACCAATGACTGAAAACCAGAGGAATTGTACAATGACATCAAGAACATCATCCATGAAGAAAACAGAAGATCATTAAAAAGACAGGAAAGGAAGAAAGGACCAAAATGGATGTCAGAAGAGACTCTGAAACTTCCCCTTGAATGACAAGTAGCTAAAGCAAATGGAAGAATCAATAAGATAAAAGAGCTGAACAGAAGATTTCAAAGAGCAGCTTGAGAAGACAAAGTCAATTATTATAATGAAATGTGCAAAGACCTGGATTTAGAAAACCAAAAAGGAAGAATATGCTCAGCATTTCTCAAGCTGCAAGAACTGAAGAAAAAATTCAAGCCTCGAGTTGGAATATTGAAAGATTCTATGGGGAATATATTGAAAGATGCAGGAAACATCAAAAGAAGATGGAAGGAATACATAGAATCACTGTACCAAAAATAATTGGTCAAAGTTCATCCATTTCAGGAGGTAGCATATGATCAAGTATTGAAGGAAGAAGTCAAAGCTGCACTGAAGGAATTGCTGAAAAACAAGGCTCCAGGAATTGACAGACTACCCAGTGAGATGTTTCAACAAATGGCTGCCATGCTGGAGGCACTCACTCATCTATGCCAAGAAATATGGAAGACAGCTACCTGGCCAACTGACTGGAAGAGATCCGTATTTGTACCCATTCCAAAGAAAGGTGATCCCACAGACTGTGGAAATTATCAAATAATATCATTAGTATTACATGCAAGTAAAATCTTACTGAAGAAGCGACTGGGATCTTAAAAGCTTGCAAGCAGACATCTGTATGGAACAATGGGTCTCCTCATCCAGAGCAAAGAAGAATGAAAAAAAAAAAGATGCATTGAAACAGTCACTCCAAGTGGCTGGTACACCATGCAATTCTCAGCCTATATGACTATGAGACCAGAAGAACTAGATGGTGCCCGGCTACCACTGTCAACCACTCGAAGGGGGATTGATGTAAGAGATCCTGGATATAGTGGGAGAACAATGTGGAACAAAACTCAAAATTATTGAAAAAAAAAGGGGGGGTGGGATAGAGGAGCCAGGTTTGCTGGTCTGATAGACCCTGATGGAACCACTGAGACTATGGCCCCTAACTACGCTTTAAGCCTGGAATTGATCCCAATCCTGTGGCTTCCAGCCAAACAAAAAACAGGTATATGAGCTGAACATTTACATTAGGTAGATACACTCCTTAGAGAGATCAATCATGAGAGAATAGAAGTGCTGTGTATGCACACGGTGACAGCTCAGTTGGCAGGAGTGCATAGGAGGGAAGGACACGGGGAAAAGGTAACTATGGAGAGGAAATAAGAGGAGAACTGTTGCATTGTGGGAAATTGCAGTCAATGTCATGAGACAAAGTGTATGTGAGCTACTGTATGGAAAGTAAATTTGCTCTGTAAACTTTCACCCAAATCACAATAAAAATTTTAAAAAATAATCTTACTGAAGATAATTCAAAAACAGTTGCAACAGTATATTGACAGAACTTCCAGAAATGTAAGCTGGATCTAGAAGAGGACATGGAACAAGGGATAACATTGCTGATGTCACATGGATCTTGGTTCAGAGCAAAACTTGTGTTTTCTTGACTATCTTGGTTCAGAGCTTTACTTGTGTTTTCTTGACTATGCAAAAGCATTCGACTATGTGTATCATAACAAATTATGCATGACATTGAGAGAATGGGAATTCCAGAACAGTTAATTGTGCTTGTGAGGAACATGTACAGTAGACCAAGAGGCTGTCATTTAAACAGATCAAGGAGATGCTGCATGGTTTAAAATCAGGAAGGCAGTGTGTCAGGGTTGTTTCCTTTCACCATACTTATTCAATCTGTATGCTGAGCAAATACTCTGAGAAGCTGAACTATATAAAGAAGCACGTGGCATCAGATTAGAGAAAAACTCATAAACAACCTGTGATACACAGATGACACAACTTTTGTTGCTGAAAGTGAAGATGACTTGAAGCACTTACTGATGAATATTAAAGACTACAGTCTGCAGTATGGATTGTTGTTGTTAGGTGCCATCGAGTCATCTCAATTCATAGCGACCCTATGCACAGTTGAACAAGACACTGCCTGGTCTTGTGAAATCTCCATGATCCCTGCTCTACCTGAGCCCATCGTTGCAACCAGTGTGACAATCCTTCTTGTTGTGAGGGCCTTTCCTTTTTAGTTGACCCTCCACTTAACCAAGCATGATATCCTTCTCCAGGGAATGGTCCCTTCTTACAACATGACCAAAGTAGGTGAAATGAAGTCTTGCCATTCTCACTTCCAAAGAGCATTCTGGCTGCACTTCTTCCAGGACAGATTTGTTAGTTCTTGATACTTTCAGCATTCTTCACCAACACCACAACTCAAAAGACTCTTCTTGGGTCTTCCTTATTCATTGTTCAGCTCTCATACGCATATGAGGTGATTGAAAATACTGTGGCTTCTGTCAGGGGCACTTCAGTCTTCAAGGAGATATTTTTGCTCTTCAGCACTTGAAAGAGGTCCTTTGCAGCCGATTTGCCTAGTGCTATACGTTATCTGATATCTTGACTCCTGCTTCCATTGGTGTTGATTGTAGAACCAAGTAATATGAAGTCTTTGACAACTTCAATCTTTTCTCCATTTATTGTGATGCTTCTTATTGGTCTAGTTGTGAGAATTTTTGTTTTCTTTGTATTGAGGTGTAATCCATACTGCAGACTGTAGTCTTCAATCTTCATCAGTAAGTGCTTCAAGTCATCTTCATTTTCAGTAAGCAAAGTTGTGTCTTCAGCATATAGCAGGTTGTTAATGAGTCTTCCTCTAATCCTGATGCCACATTCTTCTTTATATAGTCCAGCTTCTCAGATTATTTGCTCAGCATACAGATTGAATAAATATGGTGAAAGGATACAGCCCTGATGCACTCCCTTCTTGTTAAACCATGCAGTATCCCCTTGTTCTGTTCAAACAACAGACTCTTGGTCTATGTACCAATTCTTCAGTATGGATTACACCTAAACATAAAGAAAACAAAAATCCTCACAACTGGACCAATAAGCAGCATCACAATAAATGGAGAACGGATTGAAATTGTCAAAGATTTCATATTACTTGGTTCCGCAATCAACACCAATGGAAGCAGTTTTCAAGACATCATATGACATATTGCACTGGGCAAATCTGCTGCAAAGGACCTCTTTGGCATGCTGAAAAAGTCTCCTTGAAGACTAGAGTGCACCTGACCCAAGCCATGGTATTTTCAATCACCTCATATGCATGTGAGAGCTGAACAATGAATAAGGAAGACCAAAGAAGAGTTGATGCTCTTGAGTTGTGGTGCTGGTAAAGAATGCTAAAAGTACCATGGACTGCCAAAAAAACTAATAAATCTGTCCTGGAAGAAGTGCACCCAGAATGCTCCTTGGAGATGAGAATGGTCAGACTTCGTCTTACCTGAGGCTGGCACAGGAGTGGGCTGTGTTTCCTTCTGTTGTACATAAGGTTGCTATGAGTCAGAGATGACTCGATGGCACCTAACAACACTCTTAGTCGTATTGTCAGAAGAGACCATTCCCTGGAGAAAGATATCATGCTTGGTAAAGTGGAGGGTCAACAAAAAAGGGGAAGGCCCTCAACAAGATGGGTTAACACAGTGGCTACAACAATGGGCTCAGGTATACCAAGGATTGTGAAGCTGGCACAAGACCAAGTAGTGTTTCGTTCTGTTGTACATAGGTTTGCTATCAGATGGAGATGACTCAGTGGCACCTAACAACAACATTCAAAGAATTATTACTGGAATTTTGATTGGAAATTGCATTCAACCTATTTATCTTGGGGAGTTTTGACATCTTTACTGTGTTGAGTCCAATCCATGATCACAGTTTGTCTCATCGTTTACTTAGGTCCTTGATTTCTCTCATCAGCTTTTAGCATGGAAGTACCATACATGTTTTGTTGGATTTATACCTAAGTATTTCTCTTTTTTGAGCAATTATAGATGGTGTTGTTCCTTTCCAATCTATTTGCCTTTTACTTCCTTTTCTTGTCTTATTGCATCACTATGCTGAATAAGAGTGCTGAGAGTGGACATTTTTGTCTTGTTCTTGATCTTATGGAGAAAGTATTCAGTCTTTCAATTAAATATTGTATTAGCTACAGGTTTTGTGTAGATGTTCTTTATAAACTTGAAGTCTCCCTCTTGTACCAATTTTGTAATAGCTTATTGAGTTTTGTCAAATGCTTTTTCTGCATCAAATGATATGATCATGTGATTTTTCTTCTTTGACTATTAATATAGTGAATTACATTAATTTTCAAATATTGAACCAGCTTTACATTCTTGGAATAAAGCCATGGTGTATAACTCTTTTTTATATATTGTTGGTTTCTGTATGCTAATATCTTGTTATATCTTATACTTTCTTAATACTTCTCTTATCTTCAGGGATCGTTTTCATATGGGTCTATCAAAGATCTTGGAAGCAACTACGCTAGTTACAGACATGCACGAGGAGCTCTTGATTCTTGGTCCTCAAATAGAACAAAAAACAAAGGTAGACATAGTTTAAAATCATTTTTAAATATTTTATAGTTAAAGATAGAACAGTATTTTGAAAGCTAAGGCTTGATAGCTGGTAAAATGGGTTAGAATTCCAGCTTTGTCACCAGGTAGCTAAATAATCTTGAGGAAATTACTTACCTCTTATAGTCTCCATTGGAAAACAATGACAACAATAACAGAAATAGAGTGACATTATTACATATTAATAATTAAATGTGATAATAGGTATATAACTGATTGTAAAGACTCATACAGAAAGGTCTCTTAGTTAATTAGTTAAATACATCTAAAATGTGCTATGGTAACTTGCCATCTGTCAAGTATTCTGAAATTATTATACATCATCATTCTTTAAGAGATTTTGGTGAACTGATATTTATGGCAGTCATTGTAATTAGTCTATATGATAAATATACTTCAGGTTGATTTTTATAAATTTTATAATAAGGAAATGACCTATTCAAATTTATGCTGTCTTAAAATTCATTCTAAGTATTGTTTGGTTCATTAGGAAATAGAAATCCTACTGGAAAAATTACAGAAAGAATCACAAGTAGTTGAGAAAGTTCAGATGCTTGTTAAACAGGATGAAGAAATCATGGCAGAAGAAGTAAAAATTGTGGAAGAATATGCTCAGGTAAAATTAAAACACACTCAATAAAAATCATTTGGAGGTTTGTGTGAAAGTATTCCTTAACCCTTAAAGTTTAGGTTGACTGCTCTTAAATATAACATAGTGCCCCAACTTTGTATACTCTTTACTTGTATCCCAACAAACATTTATTGAGTATATATATATAGAATACTAGAAAGATCTATATATATATAGATCTTATTAGTATTCTATATATATA